TTTCCTCCTTTACAGGATCCCATCGTGTCACAGCGTTTTGAATCCATGACATGCTGCTCTGAGTCCCTCGTGAAAAAAGTAGAGCTTCCTTCTCGCATTCGAGATGCAGACCTTTCCAGGTAATTCGTATTTCGTTCACAACGGATTTGTTGTTGATCAGACGGATGCATGCTTCCTGATGGAAACTGTTGAGTTTTAGAATTTCCGTTGTTTCCGAGGTGCAGATCTTTTTCCCTTGCGATGACATAAAACATATTGTTGTCGACTGTGAAAAGACATCCACATTTTGACAGCCATGCGTCAATGTTATGGCCGCTATTAGTGGAGCTCTGAGAAAGGCTTCTACGTCACGGTATCTGTTCTGTTGTCGTCTTCTTTGGATCACTCGCCACGCGCAGTACTGCCAAAGCTTCCTCATGAGGCGGATCACTATGAGCGCAATGGCGTACAATCCGCTACATATGAGCCTGCATGGTTTTCCTAACACGATTGGCACATAGCAAAGCGTGTAGGGGATGGCCACAAAAAGGTACAGAAGAAATGCTGAGGCGGCAATGGCCGATTGTGGTGAGCATTCTGGATTGAAAATGTTAGCCGTACAGATCCAGCAGCGTATGTTCTCACAGAAAGAGGAGGACGGGCAGGTGGCATCCAAGATCATCAGTTGACTCCCATCATAAAGTTTCCATTGCACGTGGTAATCGCGTAAGGTAACTTCGGGTGGGAAAACAACATTCTCCTGTTCGGGTGGGTTGTCCTTAACGTGGCAGTGGTTATCTGCGCAGATCTCGTACCGTTGTGCTGATGATGAGGATAGCTGGACTCCTCCTTGAATGCATCGTATCACCGCTCCATGTGTGCTGTGTCGTTCGGATGTCGTGATCTCTGACTTCATACCGTGTACTGTGAGCAAAGCCATAGTGAGCAGAAGTACCGTACTTGGTATTGAAGTCACATGAGCGTTAGTTCGTGTTCGGAGATTGTAGCGTGGATTGAGTGTGTCCGTCAACTGTGTTGGGACTCCTTCTGCCGTTCTTGAACCTGCGTTTCGTTTCGTCTTGCTGTCTCCGCAATTGTCGTTGGCTTCAGTGGAGTTTTTCTGCTCATGTTTCTGCGGAGTCTGTTCCTCGGGATCCTCTAATTCCAAAGGAATGAGTTGATTCAGAGGTCGCCGTATTAGGTGACCGTTTGGTAATTTCACCTCTGCTTCTCGAGTGTTACCATCGCTAGATTCTCGCAAGTTCATGATGCGTCCCATTTCCCATGAATTTCTTGGGAGAATTTGATCGGCTATCAAAACGACGCTGCCTGGTTTGGGTGGGATCGTGGTACCCTGTTTACTTTTGACCGTAAGTTGATGTTTTTCTCGCAAACTTGTGAGATACTCCCGACTCCATATTGTCCAAAACCGCTCTGTGAACTTATGGCTGCTTTTCAGAGCTTCCTCAGTTTGGTGTCGAGTGCGCAGGCGAGCGAATTTCTTCACTGGGGAGATATTCTTTGTCGTCAGTTTCTTCCTGTTCGTATTCCAGTGGGTACGTTATTATCATATCTCTTTGGATGAAATCTATCGGGCGAAGTATTGGAGTTGCCTCCCATTTCTCTTCCTGATAAGTGAGGGGTCTGGTGTTGAGACTCCCCTCGATTTCTGTTAGTAGCGTTTCCAATACCTCTCTTTCCAACACGTGTCCTTTCGTGACTTTGTAAAGAGATTGTTTCACTGACTTGATAAGTCTCTCATAAAAAGCTCCCTGCCACGGAGCATAGGGTGTTATTGTTTTCCACACAATCCCTTTCGTAGCCATTGTCTGTGCAAGTGAGACGTCATTGGATATCGAGGTTACCGCTTCTTTCAGAGTTTCGTCTCCCAATACGAATGAGGTTCCATTATCCGAGATTATCAGGGATGGCACTCCTCGGCGTGCGAAGAATCGTCTAAGCCCGAGTAAGACTGCTGTTGTAGACATATCTTCAGTGAGTTCGAGATGAAGCAGGCGCGTTGTAGCGCAGGTCATGATGAGTCCATAGACTTTTTTCACTGTGCCGTTTTCCTTCGCTGCGAGTGGTCCGAAAAAATCGATTCCCACATGTTCAAAAGGTCTTGTTCGTAGTACTCTGCATTGTGGGAGGTCTTGCATTTCAGGATAGGTGGGGAGGTTGTTCATCTTCTGACATGGAACGCATGAATGAAGCACGCTCCGTGTTAACTGGCGAAGTTTTGGGATCCAATATTTTTCTCTGACGTTCGCCATTGTGTGTGCAACGCCGCAATGGAGATCCGTGTGTGCTTGTTGAACTATCATCTTTGCCAATTCCGTTTTCGTTTCTATGAGAATTGGCTGCCGTGTCTCATAGTTCAAGCTCGTCTTGTCCAAACGTCCTCTGCATCGAAGAATACCATGGCTATCAGCTTGCAGTTTGAGTTGTTTCAGAACGTTTCTCCTTGAATCTTGGACATGAACTTGTTGGTGATTCCTGATCAACGCTCTCAATGCCATCTCTCTTTCGTTCGCTGTTACGTAAGGCTCCGTTGTCATTTGGGAAAGCTCCGGAATGTGCTGCTCGATTCGAGCACGAAGATTTTTGTCAACCCGAGAGCTGATTCCTCTGATGAAGCGGAGTACATAAGCAATTGAAGTTTGGCATGATGACAGACTTTTGTATCTTTTCCAGCACAGTAGGTCTGCTGGCTGTTGGTCCAAAGTTTTGCAAACTGTGACGACGCAACTGTTCTTTTCCATTTCCTCGTTTGGTATTGAGAAAAATTTGCACATAGCCGAATTTTGTCGTAAATGGTAGGTCCTTGAGAATTTGCCGGATTTCTTTCCTGCGGTTGTTGACAAAAACTCCGGCTGACTTCTCTTTGACATTGCTCTTCACCCAGCTCAGTGCGATTTCCGAATCAGTGAGGATATACAAGGCCATGACTTTGATCTTTTTCCGCATCGCTTTGTATATCGAGTGTGCCAGCCGTGCAGCCATCGTCAGCGCGTGAAACTCCATTTTCGGTATCGTGGGTTTATCTTTCACACGTGGTAGCTTGCATTTTCCAGTCAGCAGTTTGGACCTACCCTCTTGCACTATGTATGCACAGGTAGCCATTGCCTGCGAACTAGCATCTGAGAACACTACAATTGTTGCCGGGTCGTCAAGCTGTGCAACTTTCCGGGGCAATCGTTTTTCAAATCCATTTGTCTTGAATCTTCACCCACTGGGCTTGATGTTGGGGTGAGAGTGTTGTGTCCCATTCGTAGGGGTGGTCCCAGAGCTCTTGAAAGAACAGCTTCGCTGGTAACGTGAGAGGAGTCAGCCATCCATGTGGATCGTACATCGTACATCTTTGTGAACTTGCTCTTTGATGGATATGAGCAGCTCACTCTGAAGTTCATCGCTCTCCGTATCCCACGGGATTCCGAGTACTTTCTGCATTGACTTTCCTGCTGAATCGATCTCTGGAACTCGGCTGTTGAAGTCTGCATCGTTCGAATGGAATTCTCTCAAGTTCATCCGTAGCTCTCTGAACAGTTCCTTTGCCTTAGTGTAGAGCTGGAAGGCATCATCGGTGGATTCTGTCGTGAGAATGACGTTGTCCACGTATGTGTTTTCCATCAGCATTTGTGCAAAACGTTGATCTTCGTGAGAACGCATATGATGATGAATAGTTCCGGCTAGAAGGAATGGTGAACAATTCAGGCCAAAAGTGACTCTTGTAAACCTGTATGTGACGATGTTCTGTGGAGTGACCGCTTTCTCTATGTCCTTCAGCCATAGGAATCGAGTAGCATCTCGGTCTTTATTGTGCAATCGGATCTGGAGGAACGCTTTCTCGACATCACTTATGATCGCTATCGTCTCCGATTCGGAAACGCAGAAGCATGTCGAATATCATAGGAAGCATAACCGGTCCTTGATGCAGCATGTCGTTAAGTGATGGAGCGCCTCGCATGTGCGCTGATGCGTCGAACACTACTCGGAGCTTTGGTAGTTTCCTTGTGTGGAGTGACCACGGCTTGGTGAGCAAGGTAGTGCACCCGCGTCGAATTCGCTGATGCGTGATCTGTCACCTCTTCGATGATTCCCAGTTGCAGTTGGTTCATGAAAATTTCGTGGTACTGCTGCATGAGCTCCGGGTCCTTCTGAAGTTTTGCAACTGACGTTTCCAGTCTCCGGAATGACATAGCTTTGTTGTCTGGTAGGTTGACGGTGTCGTCCTTCCAGGGGAGTTGTACGTAGTAGCCGTCTTCCCTTTTTGGATCGTTTCTTCAAACTTTTTCCAGACCCTATCACTGACGTCTTGACGTTCTCTCGCTGTCGGTCCTATGAATTCTTGGACTCCAGATGTCTCAAGTGAATAAAATTGCTCCCACATTTTCGTGCTGTCACCTTCTGATGAGATCATGGAACCTTGATCTTGTGAGGGTGTGTTGTTCAGCAACACATCATGGCTGACAGTCTCAGTGACGTCGGGAGTGGTGGCTATAGTTGTTGACGTTGCCATTTGCGTGTCCTGCTTCGCGCATTCGATGAGTATGTGATCAGCTACCGTCCTGGCGCTACCTTCATCTGATTCGTTCGAGAACAGGAGATCGGGTTCCGTCTTGGAACCGCTGTTTGCTCTGCTTCTCGCTTTGCTGACAGCAACTAGCTCCTCCTTATTGGATGTTCCAGCCTTTCCTATGACGAGGTATCCTAGCTTGGATGGGAGTATCTTTAATCCTGAGGGTAATGTTCGTTGTTGTCCAACGTCTTCCTCCAGTAGTGTGAACAGGTCTGCACATCCTAGTAGGATATCTGCTCGAATCTTCGACGTTTTAGGACTGATGGAGAGTGTGATGTCGTTCTCGCAAAGGAACTTCTTGTCTTCTGCAGTGAGAGTGCTCTTGTAGATTGGTTCCGTAAGAATATCGATTCTGCTCACGGAGTAGCTGTGGGGATTTCCGTCCCGGTCCCATAGCTTCACAGTGGTTGTGCCGCATTTCTTCTTCATGGGCGTTGTTGAACCAAACGTGTTGATCGTGAGAACTGTTGTCTCCGCTTCTGGGAGTTGCAGTCGATCCGCTAATTCTTCACTGATGAATGAGCGATCTGCTCCTGAATCAAGCATAACGTGTACTTTTTCCAGCATTTGTGAGCGTGGATTGAATACTAGCGCTTCACCAGCGAGGATCAGTGTGTCCGGTCGTCGTTTGCTATTTCCGACGTGCAAAACCGTATCTGCCGCAAGCTCCCTGTTGTCGCTTCTTCTGAGGAGACGCAGTGCGTCCTTGTCGTCATAGTCTTTCGAGGCGGTTTTGGTTTCGCATTTTCCTGTGACTGAGGTCCTTTTACAGGCCCTGTTCCTTGAGTCATTGGTGGAGGCCTTGTGAAGATCGCCTTTTTGCAGATAGAGGTATGATGACCTTTTTCGTTGCACATCCTGCAAGCTCCTTTGCTGCAGTGCGTCGCTTGATGACCGGGCGCCCCGCAATTGCGGCACAGGTTCTTTCTCTTTATGATTCAATTCTTTCATCTCGAGATCGAAAATCCTGGCATTGCTTGGGTGAATGTCCCGGCTTATTGCAGTAGAAGCAGGTAGATGTGGTTTTCGTTGATTGTGGTGTTCGTCTGTTTGACTCGTTTTTCACGAATAATCGCTCGACTTCTTTCCTCTGCGTGTGTTGAATGATCTTTCTTTCGGTTCGGATATGAGCTCGTGCAGCAGCTAAGAGGTCTTCTGTGCTCCATTTGGTGTTTGGAGGAAGCTGTTGTTCCTGACGCAGGACATGACGTTGTACTCTGAGGAGAACTTTCCGAGCAGTTGCTTTTGCAAGAAGACATTGTCAATGTGCTCTCCTTTTAGCTTCAACTGGTTGACAAGAGATATCAAACGCTCGCAGAGATTTTCTTGATCTCCAAGACGATCGCTTGTTGCTCTGGCTGTCTGCAGTTTCTTCAGAAGCTGATCCAGTAATGCCTGTTTGTCCCCGTATTTGTCGTGGAGATATGATATCACAGCTGGATATGTTGCTCGTGACACTTCATACTGCTTGATACTCTCTTTTGCTTCTCCTTGCAAGGCGTCGAGCAAGTAGTTCATTTTGTAGAGATCGTCCATTTCACGTGAATGCACTGAATGGTTGAACGCTCCCCAGAATGTCTCCCATTCCCAGATTTTCCCGTCAAATTTTGGGATCGGTATTGGAGGTAGTGCTACATGAGGTGATTCATGCATCGTGATAGCCTGTTCCTGGACGTCTCCATCATTATCGATGTCGAATTCTTCTTTTATCAACTGCGTCAGTTTTGTATTCGCCATGTCGAGTAGATTCTGTGCCGCTTCTCCGTTTGTATTCACCTTTCCAATGATATCACTCGATGCAGGTGTTTCCGGGTCGAGGTTATCTGCTGCTATTGTATAGTGTTCCAAAGCTTTTTCTACGCTGTTGACCTCTTTTTCGATGGTGAGCTTCGCTTTTCGAATCTCTCTGAGTCGCTTTGTCTGATAGCTCCTGTAAGCGGTAACGTCTTCTGGTGATGGAATATTGGTGTTCTCCTGATCTTTCAGGGCTGCTGATAGTCTACCGCACGCTTTTGTTAGAATGCCTTGACGGGTTGACAGAGTCGAAGTCATTCTTGAATGGATTCAGTATTCTTGTGATGAACGTCAGGCGAGGTTTATGCGAAGAGCGTCCAGCACGAGTTTCCAACCTTTACTTCAATATTCTTCAGAAGTCGACCTCACGATTTTTCTTTCGGTTCTTTCCGAACTTGAAGTTGCTTCTTCTCCTTGTCCGAGTCGATCAGTGCCGATGCACCATATAGAATTTCTCGCTCTGTAGCCACGCGGGTCTTCCTTTTCTTCTTGAATCCAACGAGCTTTCTTCACACAAATTTATCTGCCGAACAGAACAGTACAGAGGCGATTACAGCAAAGGCGATCCACAGTATGGGAGCTGAACAATCCGACAGTGCCCCCTTTTTATACGCTACATTTACAGCGAGATATAAGAAAGATAAAATGTGCTTCTAGGAAAGAAAACAAAATACCAAGATCAGCCAACTGATATCGATTACGAAACTTGCAAACCACATTCCAATGTAAGAAATAGAACGGCATTAGAGATAATAGAATAACATTTCTTTTAAGATCAGCCATAAGATAATGTTAAGAGCTTTCAGCTTACATTCCAACAGCAATGGAGACCAATATTTTTCTAAGATCAGCAAGTAGATAACTAAAGCAAACTTCAAGCTACAGAATTCCAAGAAAAAATAGAGAATTCTTTCTCTACCAGGAAGGTCTTTCAGGGCGTGACGAGCTTTTTGAAAACGGTCTTTTGCATGATATAGGGGCAGATGCGGGAACCACAGAACCATGTTTAATTTTTCCTGAACGGCCCTCTGAATACCAGAAAAGGGGGTCCCTAGTTCGATTCCTCTGGTGACAAATTTTTGCATTTCGAGTTGACGTTCCAAAATTCGCGCAAAATGGAGTTCTGATTGTTCTGGTTGGTTCTAACTCCATTTTGCGCGAATTTTGGCACGTCAACTCGAAATGCAAAAATTTGTCACCACGAGGAATCGAACTAGGGACCCCTTTTCTGGTATTCAGAGGGCCGTTCAGGAAAAATTGAACATGGTTCTGTGGTTCCCGCATGTGCCCCTATATCATGCAAAAGACCGTTTTCAAAAAGCTTGTCACGCCCTGAAAGACCTTCCTGGTTAGTTAACCCATTCGCGACAATGTCAGCCACCGGTGGCTGACGCGAAGATGTCCACTTCGGACCATGTCAGCCACCGGTGGCTGACGGGCTTTAAATGGAATTTTTGAAAACAAAAGGAGGTCTTTGGGAGATTTTCTTTGCTGTGAAGAATCTTCATACCCTCATCTATCTAGGCCACCCCTGGGCAGAGGAAATCTCTATCCACTAGAATTTTATTGAAGAAAAAATATCCTGACTTCAAAATTTCACCGAAAAAGTTGAAATTTTTTTCCGCTGAAACTTTTCCCATGGGGGTTTTCGAGGGTCCTGATCTCAAATATGATATCCATTTTTGGCGCTGGCGCCAGTTGGCGCCAAGGGTGTCTTCACCAAATTCGCTGTAAACTTGCGTATGGGGGTTATTTGAGGCCCTGATTACGAATATGACATTCGTTTTAGTCGTTGGCGCTATTTAGCACCTGTTTCCTGCTCGCCTGCACCCTCTCACTATTGGATCCAATCAGGACTAACAAGGGAGATCGTTGAGCGCTGTAGTGCTTCACCATGGCGGAGTGGTTAGGTGTGTTGTCTCATGTTCGCATGGTCAAGGGTTCGAGTCCTTGTTGAGTAGGAGTTTTTGCATGCGTATAGTGATCACTTTCGTTTATGGGTTAGGCGCACAGTCAGCGAGAAGTGCTTCACCATGGCGGAGTGGTTAGGTGTGTTGTCCTCATGTTCGCATGGTCAAGGGTTCGAGTCCTTGTTGAGTAGGAGTTTTGCAGGCCCATAGTGATCACGTTCGTTTATGGGTTAGGCGCACAGTCAGCGAGCTGAGTGCTTCACTATGGCGGAGTGGTTAGGTGTGTTGTCTCATGTTCGCATGGTCAAGGGTTCGAGTCCTTGTTGAGTAGGAGTTTTGCAGGCCTATAGTGATCACGTTCGTTTATGGGTTAGCGCACAGTCAGCGAGCGAGTGCTTCACCATGGCGGAGTGGTTAGGTGTGTTGTCTCATGTTCGCATGGTCAAGGGTTCGAGTCCTTGTTGAGTAGGAGTTTTTGCAGGCCTATAGTGATCACGTTCGTTTATGGGTTAGGCGCACAGTCAGCGAGGAGTGCACCATATGGCGGAGTGGTTAGGTGTGTTGTCTCATGTTCGCATGGTCAAGGGTTCGAGTCCTTGTTGAGTAGGAGATTTTGCAGGCCTATAGTGATCACGTTCGTTTATGGGTTAGGCGCACAGTCAGCGAGCGAGTGCTTCACTATGGCGGAGTGGTTAGGTGTGTTGCCTCATGTTCGCGTGGTCAAGGGTTCGAGTCCTTGTTGAGTAGGAGATTTTGCAGTCCCATAGTGATCACGTTCGTTTATGGGTTAGGCGCACAGTCAGCGGGGCGAGCGATTCACCATGGCGGAGTGGTTAGGCGTGTTGTCTCATGTTCGCATGGTCAAGGGTTCGAGTCCTTGTAGAGCAGGAGCTTTTTGCAGGCCTATAGTGATCACGTTCGTTTATGGGTTAGGCGCACAGTCAGCGAGCGAGTGCTTCACTATGGCGGAGTGGTTAGGTGTGTTGCCTCATGTTCGCATGGTCAAGGGTTCGAGTCCTTGTTGAGTAGGAGTTTTTGCAGGCCTATAGTGATCACGTTCGTTTATGGGTTATGCGCACAGTCAGCGCTGCAGTGCTTCACCATGGCGGAGTGGTTAGGTGTGTTGTCTCATGTTCGCATGGTCAAGGGTTCGAGTCCTTGTTGAGTAGGAGATTTTGCAGTCCCATAGTGATCACGTTCGTTTATGGGTTAGGCGCACAGTCAGCGAGCGAGTGCTTCACTATGGCGGAGTGGTTAGGTGTGTTGCCTCATGTTCGCATGGTCAAGGGTTCGAGTCCTTGTTGAGTAGGAGATTTTGCAGGCCTATAGTGATCACGTTCGTTTATGGGTTATGCGCCACAGTCAGCGAGCGAGTGCTTCACTATGGCGGAGTGGTTAGGTGTGTTGTCTCATGTTCGCATGGTCAAGGGTTCGAGTCCTTGTTGAGTAGGAGTTTTTGCAGGCCTATAGTGATCACGTTCGTTTATGGGTTAGGCGCACAGTCAGCGCTGCAGTGCTTCACCATGGCGGAGTGGTTAGGTGTGTTGTCTCATGTTCGCATGGTCAAGGGTTCGAGTCCTTGTTGAGTAGGAGTTTTTGCAGGCCTATAGTGATCACGTTCGTTTATGGGTTATGCGCACAGTCAGCGCTGCAGTGCTTCACCATGGCGGAGTGGTTAGGTGTGTTGTCTCATGTTCGCATGGTCAAGGGTTCGAGTCCTTGTTGAGTAGGAGATTTTGCAGTCCCATAGTGATCACGTTCGTTTATGGGTTAGGCGCACAGTCAGCGAGCGAGTGCTTCACTATGGCGGAGTGGTTAGGTGTGTTGCCTCATGTTCGCATGGTCAAGGGTTCGAGTCCTTGTTGAGTAGGAGTTTTGCAGGCCTATAGTGATCACGTTCGTTTATGGGTTAGGCGCACAGTCAGCGCTGCGAGTGCTTCACCATGGCGGAGTGGTTAGGTGTGTTGTCTCATGTTCGCATGGTCAAGGGTTCGAGTCCTTGTAGAGCAGGAGTTTTTGCATGAATAGAGTGCTTCAATTTCGTACACTTTGGCTTTTGCAGTAGGCGCAAAGTTAGGTGAGAGAGCGTGTCACCATGGACGGTAGGAGTCTGGTATCGTGCTCGAAGATCAAAGGTTCGAAGCCTCGCTAAAGCGGATTTTTTGCGTACATTTGTTGACGCACACATACATACACGTATACGTTCACATTTTTTTAGCTAAGTCCTTCCCAGACAGCTTCACCCACCAGCGATTTCTGTTCACACACACATGTGCTACATATAAATATGATTGCTGTAATCATTGCGCACGGCTTCTTCACTACAAAAATATAGAATAACAATTTAAGTTTTAGAATTTTCTAAGGAACCACGAATCAGACAGCCACGAAACTTTGGCTTTAGATTACCCGTGGCCGACTGTCCCTTACTGCTACATTAAATTCTGCCCTGCTCCGTTTTGCGGAGCAGAACAGTCCACAATCAATTATACGGCGCGTAATCGAGTTGGTCATCAATTGCTTGGTTTAATTACCCAAGTTTGAGGTACTAATAAGATACGACATGAATAAGATGAGATAGGATAAGATAAGATTCAATTCGAAGTCAGTGAAATCTTGGGAGATTTTTGTAAATGAAGGAAATAAGTAATGGAAAATGTGGCATCGACGTTCGAGCCGCTCTCAGTTGTCGATTCCAATACCCGACATTGTCATGGCATAAAGCAACCAACTGCATTATAAGCGACTGTTCAGTTGCTTGATATACGGCGCAGAATGAAACAAGGAGTCTACTGAGTCATCAGAACGTTGGTTTTTACCCAAAGCCCGGCGCTGGGCGGTCTGACCCGACCGCCCCTTCGGTTCCTGGTGGCGCCACCTCTGTAAATATAAAAGGAACCGAAGGGGTGGTCCGACCCTTTGGCTCCCGGTGGCGCCACCCTTTGAAAATCAAAGGGAGCCAAAGGGGGGAAAGGGTCAGACCTAATTTTGGAGATCTCCGAAGAAAGGAGAAAAAAGCAAGAAACTAGGGGATCCATGGTCTTCAGGAACAAAGCTTCGAAGATCTTGAGACTCTTTCTGAATTGGTTGAACCATTCATGATTAATTTCGTTCACTTTCGTTTATGGGTTAGGCGCACAGCAACGAGGTAGTGGTTCTCCATGGCGGAGTGGTTAGGTGTGTTGTCTCATGTTCGCATGGTCAAGGGTTCGAGTCCTTGTTGAGTAGGAGTTTTTGCATGCGTATAGTGATCACTTTCGTTTATGGGTTAGGCGCACAGTCAACGAGGTAGTGCTTCTCCATGGCGGAGTGGTTAGGTGTGTTGTCCTCATGTTCGCATGGTCAAGG